TGCCCCCTCCCCAGCCCCAGCTCTCCCACACACTCCTGCTGCACATGCGTGTGCGCCTATAGCTCTATACATACACGTGTGTGCCTACGTAAGCTGTAACTTGACGTGTGTGTCCAGACAGACATACGTGTACGTATGGCTCCATAAGCTACACCGGTGTCTATAGGCACAGACATGCCTTTCTGTGGTTTTTAGATGTGGGGGTGCATATGTATATTTATATAAGCACACAGAGAGATGAATAGGTATCGATATATAGCTATAGGTGTTGAGGTACAGCTGTATCTTTGCCGGTGTACCTCAGATATATACTCATATCTATTTTATACACGTGTGTATATAATGTATTTGTAATTTTAAGGTGTGTATTTGTGCATATATATGCTTACATAAGTCAATATATAGAGGAGTGTATGTATAGGCAAGGTATTGGTAGATAGGTATAGACAGATACATAGGTATGGATGTATAGATATGTATTTACACAGGTGTATATACACATACATGTATCTGATCTATATGTGTATATATACACACCTACAGGTGTAGATATAGATGTGTATCTACATATCTGTATCCTACATGGATATATAGGTATATAGATCTGTGTGTATATACACAGGCACATGTATCTGTCATTTTTCTATATTTACATATAAGTAGATACAGATAAAGGTCTATAGGTTTAGCTACACAGCTCTGGTGTGCCTGTGTATACGCAGATACAAGGTACACATATGCATGTGGCTATACATCCATGGGAGCAGATGTTCATACACGCATGCAAACGTCTGCAGCTGCATAGGTGGCAGTAGGTACGTACATAAAGGTATATGGATGTAAGTGGGGGTAAATCGATGTAGCTGAGGGGGGGCGGGTATAGGGGGGGTGTGCACCCACGCCTCCCCTACTCGTGCACGTACACGCAGGGTTACGGCAGGGGTAGGAGTAGGGCTGTGTCTGCGTGCACGGTGGGTAAACGCACGCACACGCACGTGTCTGTGCGTGGAGCTGAAGTTTTGTATGTAAATTTACATAAAGCTGTAATTTTTATGTGTGCACACGTATGGACCTGTGTGTAGATGTATGGTATAGATGGGCGTTGGCAAGGATCGCTGCACAGAGCACCCACAGCTACAGCGGTGTCCGTAGCCATGTCCAACTTACAGATCTGTGCATGCCCATGTATATGTTTGTGTGTAGGTATGTAGTTATAGGTATTGATAGAGGTAGATCTGTGTGTATGTATGTAGATACGTTTACCCACCCATTTATATGTATTTGTAACTTTCATATGTGTACATACTGATACTCACGTAGCTCTATCTGTGTATTTATGTGGGTACGTACCTACCCATATATCTACCTATACGGTACGTGTGTGGAGCTGTATAGGTATATACACGTCTACATTATAGATGTCATTTTATAGATGTGTGCATATACACCTCCCTGCGTAGATCGAGGTAGAGGAGGCGGCAGCGATGCCTGTACAGACAGGCACGAGGGTAGGGATATAGGTAGGGTCTCTATATACACCTATAGCGGGGGGGTGTGTGTGTGCACGCCTGCAGCACGTGCGTGTGCAGGCACAGCCGTGTATAATGCAGCTGGAGGGAGGTGTGGGGGCCACGTTCTCCCCCCAGGGCTGCTCCCAGGTAGCGCCCGTAGCCGGCTGCAGCAAATGTACAAATACCTGGAACCCACATGCGGACACGCGTGAGTCCCCGTGCGCTCGCACACACTCAGCCCCCAGCCCCCCCGCGGAGCCCGGCCCCCTGCCCGGCTGAGGCTGGAGGAGGGGGGGCACCCTGGGCTCCCTCAGTAGGTGTCTGTGGCCATGGGGGGCTGCCCCCCACCCA